CTTCCAACCATAACGATTCTATGATTCACTATTACATAATACTGGACAGAACAAGCATGAGCTGCTGTCTTTGAAAGGCTTTGACATTTCACTGAGCAATTAGCTCTGCTACCCCAAATGCCTTGCCTGCTGTAGTATGTAAACAGAGCGAAGGAAGGTTTCTGACAAACCCCAGACATGTGGCAAGGTCAACTCTACCCAGTTGCAACAGCAACACTCCTCCATGCCCTCTTCTGTCCCCTTTGGCTCAAGGCTCTTGTACTCTACCTTGCTGCCAGGAGACATGCAGCAAGAATCCTCGGCACTTATTCAGCAGATGCAAGGAAGAAGTGCTGCAAAAGCTTAAACTAAGAACTGGAAAACATTCTGCTAGTGAGACATGGTCCCAGGAACATCTGGCATTCCAGCATGACAAGGCTGTCTGTAGGCTGGAAAGAGTAGGTGCATTTTTGGTTTTGAAGAGAAGCCAACGACTCTGCCCTGCTGGATTCTTACTTTAGGAAACCAGACTGTACCCCAGTCGCACTGTAATAAAACATCTGACTAAGAAAGGGTTAACTGAATATTCTTGGTGGTGTTCAGAAAAACCAAAAGCACAAACAACTGTATGAACTTTACTAAGGCACCAGAATAAATGTCAGTTCCCTGTTAGCTCCTATCACGATCAAACTGCTAGCAATGACCTAGTGAACTAAATTCGTGACCATCATGATTACTAGCTCCCCTGGGTTTTTCGGTACCTCAGAAGCCACCAGCCCTCTGTTCTCTGATTTCCCTGCTTGTGTGAACATCCTCAAATTGCAGTGAAACACAGACTGTGATATAGCAGGGAGCGCACAAGGACCCAGTGAGGGCATAACAAAATAACCATGTGCTGACCCACTACAACAGGCCTGAAGGGACTTTATGACCCTAGCAGCATTTCTGTTCAGCTGTGAACCTTGTAACCCAAGCCATAGGGTATTCTACAGGCTGGTTATACTGCTTAAGACCACCTGAGAGGAGACCAGACTGCTTGCAGTTTGCGCTGCATTTATAACCATGTCAGTCCTATGCTTCTGACCTTCTGGCCACTGCCTTTGGAAACATCAAAGAAAACTTCCCATTTGATGCATAATTTGTTTTCTGCTTTTATTTAGCTTTTTTCCTCCTTCCAGCTGTGGTAATTTTAGTACCTCAGAGGTTAAAGAAAGCAGAACATGCTGGTGCCATGGCAGCACCAACATCACTTAAGCTGAATGTTTTGTGTGCCCTGTTTACACGCTCAGGATGAAACCATTAGCAGATTTAGGGTCAGGAAAAGATTTTCTCTGGGCAAACTAACAGAGATTTATGAACATCCTTCTGCCCTCTGCTGTAGTGTAAGGCACTGCCCTTTTTCTAGGACCACGTGGAACTTTCTTTAAGGAACGCTCAGCCACTGGCAACGCTCTTGATTTCTTCTAACCTTGTTTTCCAGCACAGTAAAGCAGGAGTAATATCAGAGGTTTTCGGTTAGAACAGTGGAAGCACTATGCAAGTTCCCTTCTCAACAATGGACTTTCACACGAAGTCTATCAGCAAAGCAGCAATGAAAGCTAGATTTAATGCAAAGCAAAGGGTTACAAATAAGACAGTAACTAAATCAATACTCTCTTCTTAGAAATTAGCTAATGCCAAAACTCAGTGGTTCCTTAGAAGACTGTGCTGACAATCACTTCCCCCCACTGTCCTTGTGGCTCAGGAAGCCAGTTGGCATTATCCCACTGCAGCACTGTGTTGTAGGTAAAGAACCAAGTTCCTAAGTACTGCAGCAGACTTCCTAGAGAGAAACCAACCCTTTAAATTACATTCAGATCTAGAGACTGCCAGAGCAGATCACAAAGCACAGATTAGAATGGCAGTCAAAAGAGATCTGTTGTACTTTCTTCAGTATTCCTGTTTAAGTAAGCTTAAACAAATATAACCACCACTCCCTTACAATAATGTAAAATAAAAACACCTACACTGGAGAGAGAAGTCAGAAGCCTTTTAGTCAGGTACAAATCAAAAACCTTTCTCTTTACCACCAATGAATTGTTCAAAGACATTAATTTCTTATTGCACTACATCATCTGGGTCCTTACCCTACTACTACAATGGCCATCCGTGTTTCATCCAGAATATGTATCATTTTCATATTGACATTTAGTAATCTCTCACTTGTTAAATAACTACCTCATGTATATGTTGCACAAAGAGAATGAAATCTGTACAAAGAACATCTTTAAATTAAAAAAAACCCAAACCAAAACTAACCCAAGCAAAAAAAACAGTCCCATGTAACCCATAGGGACTTTAGATATGATATTCATCCACTGTCTCTGGAGGTGAACAATGAACAAGCAGGCCAGTACTTGATGTTTGACACAAGACAGCAGATAAATACAAAGCCATCAGCACAGAGCAACTTTGTCAACACTAGACCTAGACTGGAACCACTCAGCGAATGGAAAAGCTGTACAAAGTTTAGACTATAACTTGGACTAATGAGGTTCAAAGAAACAGACTTCTAGACAAAAACCAGCTTTGCCACAATCAAGACAATCTTTACAGTCATCCGTATGATAAAGCAAATATGGGAATAGACAAATCAGAATAGCAGGCTAGACTCTTAATTTTTACTACGGGCCTCTTGGTACGTTCTCCATTTACAGCTTTGATAAGAGTAGGGAACCTGCCCTTTTTGATGAAAGTGCCTGATTATCTCCACATAATGCCAACTAGATCCAGCAACTTTCCCACCCAAGAAATGGATGGAATAGCTGACAAGTTGTGCCACAAAATTTCCCCAACACCTCTTGCAACTTTTAGCACAACTAAAACAGAACAGGCAATCATCACTGCTGTTTCTGCAGTGTAGAGGATTTTCAGTGACTGACTGCTAAATTCTTATCAGCATAGACTAGAATTCAAAATTACTGAGATATGACCAGTCATGCAAAGCCCACATGGGATGGGAAACAAGAACACTCAAAGATTCATTTGTAGTACATTCCAAATCATACCTTCTTTTTGTTCTTAATCTGCGTAAGTTCCTGAGGGCTTGGAAGGACACAAGAAAATCGAGTAGGTTTCCTTGGGATGCTCTTCTCAGCTAGAAAGACAAAGCATCATTACAGTTAAACCTATCCCCAGAGTAACATTCAGCCCACTATAGTGTCCCATCATAACTTTCAGTCACAGACTCTTGCTGCAACGTGCTGCCCTTCAAATGGCAGCCACATTCCTACTATTCAATTACTACATTCCTCCCACTCACATTTTCTTCTGCATAATTGCATTGAAGCTTCTTGTCCTGGACAATTTCACACATCCACAAAATTAATTTTCTGGCTATTTTGAATACCTATATTACTGATACCCTGGAGAATCTCTGACTACCTTAAAAATACTAAGCACTGCTATGAATTTCACACGCTTTTGCCCCAAAGTGACCCACCAGATCTAACCCCCAGAAGAAATGCAACAGTTAGTAGGCATATATAGCACACATATAATAAACAAATATTCACCACATACCTTCTTGCAATTTTGAACACACAATAGCTACAGTGGTCTATAGTATAGTAGGACCAGCCAGCAAATGTCAGGACCATCCTCAGCATATACACACTCAGAGTGTCAGAGTACCGTGGAGACCATTACCTGCCTCACTTCCTCCTTCCAATTCCATGCAGCCCTCCTTCATCTGGTCAGCCATAAGGCATCCACTGGTGGGAGGACATGCCCCAGCTGGCTCTGAGACTGCACTGGAAGATTTTCCCTCACTGAGTACTCTCTCATTACCTGTAGAAGTTAAAAAAAGAAAAACCAACAACAAAACCCACACATAAACAAACCTGCAAGCCACGGAAAAAGCTAACAGAGAAATAATTAACCAATCTCTCTAAACTGAACATGTGCTTATTCAAAGGAGTTCTCCCCAGTAACTGCGATTCCTCAGTACCCTCAGTATTTTGTCTACATGAATTCTATGGCATACCCTCCTTCTGCTGTGACTGCCAGTCTTGACATGGCCTTTATATAAAGGTTCACATGAAGGACACATTTTAATATCTGTAAATTTTACAAATAGCAAGTTTATTAACATCAGTGTGTAGTTCTAAAACATGCAACAGGAAGACTGAAAACACATATTTAAGGAGTTTATTACGTCAGCTACCAAAACGAGATCTACAAGTTTAGCACAAGACTAAGCTTAATATCAAAATATCAAAGAAAGGGGTCTTACTATTGCTTGTTTCTTTGGTGCTGTTCATGGTTTCTGGGCTGGATTTGACAACTTCCTTCTCTTGTTGATGTATGTTACTCAGCACTTTGGCCTGGCAATGTGCCTCAGTGCTATCTATCACTGTCAGCAATGCTTCCAGAGACAGCAGATGGACAGTATACAGTTGTCCAGAAACTGGGAAGGCATTCTGGGAAATAAAATGTAAGTACTAATCAACTTTCATGCCTCTCTCACCATAATGGGGGAAGGAAGTTGCCCCCCTCCCAGGTAGGGAAGCCTAAAGCATACAACAGAACACTAAACTTTTCATACAAAGCTTTCTAGCATAGACTTAATGGTTTATCTGCTCTGACATTATGAAAGCATCATGGCTATTATTTTCTCTTCTGCTTCCAAATGTTAAATGGCATTCTTAATTTCTACATACTACTCACCCCGAATGTTTCAAGCACTCCCATTCTTAAGTTCTGCATTTGCGCCTACCCTCGTTTGGCTGCCCCTTTGGCATCTCGCTGCTCCCTCCCTCCCTCCCTCCCTCCAGCCCACCGAGGCCGGCAGCACCTTGGAGAGCAGCTTGGTCAGCTCCTCGAAGAGGTTGGCACAGTAGTAGTCACAGTCATAGTTAATGTAGAGCTCGGTCACGAAACTGGGAATCCTCCACAGCTGAACAATGGCTTCCAAAGCCATCTCCTTCATTTCATAGGGCATCTTTGGATTTTCCACAGTGATTATTTCCATCAGCTTCTTGACATACATCTGGCAGAAACACAGGGCAGCTCAGTTTAAGGAAAGAAAAAAAGAAAGCAGGACAGTGAATAGCTTTGAGGACTACAGAAAGAGATTTAAGCTTCATCTTCCCATGTGACACTTCACCTTTAACGATGGCTCATTCTGAAGGAGGTTGTAAAAAGGTTTCAAATAGTTCTACCATTCAGTGCACCTGGATTTACCGTTCTAAAAAAACCAGTATGAAGGCAGGCAGTACAGTACACCTGTCTCAAAGACTTTTTATTATCCAACAAGAAAAGGCTTACACAGTCTACCCATATCCCACTGAGTCATTTATACAAAGATAAATTGGTATTTAGACTGTATCTTACTGACTAGCTATATGCATTTAACTGAAGCCCAATAAACCATTAATAGGCACCCAGTGATACTCAAAAAACTCACCTCCAGCTGGAATTTCAGATGCTCTCTCATGCTCTCAAAGAGAAGAAAGCACACCCTGAGGGAGGCTGCATACAGATTGAGCCGTTCAACACTCAGTAGCTGAACAAGAAACAAAAAAACCCTCTATGAATTACAAAGGCTGGTTATTATGCGCTACAAGTAGCAGTACTGTGGCACTGCAGGCATCACCTGCAACAGCCTCGAGATCCACACACTGCCTCCCATAGGAATGGTATTTCAAAAAACAATCCCTTATTGAATCATCTGGTCTCGGTTTTTTATAGTGAGGATGAATGTACTTAATTCCCTCCTGCTTGTGGTAACACTTCTCCTACTACAACTTTGTTCTTTTGCCAAGTCCACAGATCCTTTTAGTGGAAAAGGAACCTGGGAGAAGACCTGCCTCTGAGATGGCCCTTGTGCAATTAATAGCTTGGTTCTGCCTACTACTGAGCAGGTAACTTGCATCCATAATTACCTCAAAACCAATTATACCAAAACACAGTGTTATCCCACAGTAACAGTTCATTCAAATCACTTTCATCCTTCTTGGCCCTGGACTGAAGAAAATTGCACATGAGAACCCCTCTGGCTTTGCAACAGCACTGTTTCACTGGTGCAATTCAGAACTCTCATTACAATGCAGCATAGAGCTCATTTGAAGACTGAGACCTCCCAAACCTCAGAATACTAAATTCCAAGACTCTTTGATGCAAATTAGTATCTGCTTCCCCAGTGCCATATGCCATGCTACCATAGACCAGACTCACTTGAAATAGGTGCCGGCACAACTCCTCCTTCACAAGTCCCAAGAGGGACTGACAGTTTGCAATGGGTGCTGACTCCAGGGCAACAGTTAGCAGCTGCAGCCCCATGTGGATCATCACCTCAGAGTTGTGGCGGTCATGAGGGTTGGTGAGTGAGATAAGAAAGCGGAACAGTTCTCTAATACATGGCAGCCCATACGGGACCAGTGCTGCTCCTAAAGGTAAAAGAGAGATTAGCACACTTAATTTTGTTTTTTCCTTTTTGCAGGTGCCTAACAAGTGTTACAAATGAAGTTGTTACAGACTCACTGAGGAACACGAGCTTATCATCCTCTTTGCAGAAAGTGAAACAGAATAGTGGAAAGGAGAAAGGACTCTAGCAACATTGCCCACCTCTCACCTTCTTTTTGGGAAGACTGAGTAAAACGTACTCCTCGGGGATTCACATAGTCCATGTCGTGAACTGAGGCAGAGTCAGAATGTTCTGCTACAGATGTGCACTCCTCTAGGACCTCAGGGATAGACTCAACAGAAGCTGACTGGATCTTCTCCTCCCTCAGACTTTCATTCTTCAGTGATATCAGTCATTTGAGAATGAAAGAAGCAAAACAAGAGTTAACAAGCACCAGACTAAAAGAAAGGCTTACAGAGGAAAACTTACTGATGAAGGCCTTGGTTCAGGTTTGTTGTATTTCACAGTAACAGCAATGGACATGCACAAACACCAACAGCTGAATTTCTACAAACTCAAGTAAAATTGTTCGCTAAAGATAATAAGTTCTGCAGATTTCCTCTGTATTTCCCTCTAACAGTTTCTCCTTTAATTAAGATTAATGGTATCGGAAGGAGTAAAACTAGCTATGTAGGTGCATTGTTGGGCTGCACAGTTATCGTTTCTGAGCCAATAGGGATGGTCTCAAGAGAAAACAAAGAATGAATGTTTGCAAATTTACAAATCACTTACAGCAAAGAATGTTTTTATTCTGACTCTAAGCCTTGAAATAGAATATATACCCTATGACCAAAAGGAGAGACAGAAAGAGAGTAACTGTGCTAAACCCACAACTGGTTATGCTGGGAGTTGGAAATTTTCTTTATATCTACGTACCTGGAGTTCGGGCTGATTTTGATTTTCAGTGACTTTGTTTTTTTTGCATTAAGTCCCAAAGAAGCAACTTGGTCCAAGTCTGTCAGGTCTTCCTTGGAGGTAGTCTGTGAGGACAACTCCAAACCACTGTCTGTAGCAGCACTGACTGCAGATGAAACATTTTCTGAGCTCCCAGAAGAGCTGGGAGGAGCATCTATGAAAGTAACTCCGTTTGCTGATGAGAAATGGAAGCAAAAAGATCAGTATTATTCTGTCCCTTGACCATGAATTCATACATTGAATAGAGCAACAAAGAATTATTTTGATCACTACTTCACACTACAAGTGATCTCAGACAGTTACACATTAATGTAGAGGACGTAGATAAACGAAGCAATCTTTTGCTAGGTATTAATGAAATAAATAGATTAACAGGTGAGATACTAGCAGTTCTCCAAATTAAAACACAATAGTTGGAATCTAACACACTCAGTAAATAAGGTAATTCACATAGTTAGATAAAGGGTGCAGAGAGTTTCTATCCTTAAGCAGGAATTTGAAAATAGTCCAAAAGGTGTACTTTACTCTTTGATACAATGGCACAACCACTTCAAACTTATATCAAGAACTACTTATTCCTTCAATGTGAGAATTTTAACTTGATTGGAAGGCAAGACCTATTTCTTTAATTCTCCCTAAACGAATGGAATTGCAATAGAATTCAAATGGGTCTGAAATGGAGCAGTGAAGGATTTTTACTATTTCTAAATACAAGACAATACTCCAAGAATCAAAGTTTTCCTTTAGAAGAAACCCACATATTTGCAGCTCTCGCGGTTCTGAGAACTTAAAAAACGTAAAACAAGTATTTAAAAAAGAGAAGATATACTGCAGTGCACAGTAATAATGGCACAAACCAGAGTTATGTTATGAAATTACATGTGACATGTGTATGGTTTTGCACAGTGGTGTTTTATTGATGACTTGATTTTTGGAAATGTCTTAAGTAACAGGACGTTACTTGATTTTTACGAAACGTAACGGAATACATGATCAATTTTGCAATCTTTTCTTCTTCACCTGCTAAGCCAGGATTTTGACCTAAAAAGCACCATTAATACATTACCTAGCATTACAAGGTCAGAGTTAACGACATGCTCTGTAACACAATTCAACTCTCTCTCTAAAATGTTACAGGAGTTATAATGCTTTGAGTTATATGCAATTTGATCGCATTTATTATTTCCTCAGTTTTCACCAATCATGTTGTTGTGTAGAAACACACTTGGGATCATTTACACTACACGGATTAGTTTCCTGTGACAGAACAAGTGTCAGAACTAGGTCTTTTACACAACTATTGTTTCTATTTTCCCGTCTGCTTCCTTTCACCGCTAATGTTTATGTCTGAGCATCAAACTGTAGACTGCACAAGAGACAGAGTACTTTGCAGCCAGAAGGGACTCATTTATCCAGAGGAGAGGTTAGAAACAGTTATAACTATTTAGTCTACTCCTATACAATATGGAAGCCCACCAGCATTATATTTTTGAGCTCACAGCACTAGTCACATATTGTATCACTTCTGCAGGCTGAATCAAAACATGTGAAAAAGGATTCATGTGTATACCCATTAGTTTCCTGCGCACAATCCCCTTTCAGGTACTCTTCCTGTTCCCCCTACTGTTTTCCCTTTTTTCTTCACGCATTCTCAGCCACCTCTCCAAATCCCCATTCCCTTTTGTACAAACTATCCCTGTAAGGCACACTGAAGGCACAGAAATGCTGTGAAGTTAGCCACAGGACCATGCTTTCCTCCATCAATATGTATTCCATCTCCTTCAAACTCTTTCTCCTAGACCTGAAAAATCTATGGTATATTTTATTGCTATAGTTGCTGAGAACAAATACATAAAAAAAAAAAAATCTAATGCAAAACAACATGTTAAGAGAAATGAAATAAAGACAGATTCCAAAAAAGCTCTGGAACGTGTGCTGTCTGGTCTCTGAAAACAGATTTCAACTTACCTGTGGTGTTGCTAGCATTGGCTGTTGGTTGTTCTGTCCCAGGGGAGACCCTAGTTACATGGCGGGGAGGCCTTGGTGATCTCTTCTGCTTTTTCCACTTTGATGATTCGCTCATTCCTCCAGCTCTCATTTTCAACTGAAAACCAGTAACGATTAAGAATATCAGTATAGCAAAACCACATAGCACAACGGATTACACAAGCCAATCACAAACGCTGTCTAAAAACCTTCAGTCAGGCAACAGCACTTAAATATATCACGCAAATTAATCAGCACCTCAAAATCATGCAAACCAGTCCCTGACTCCCCACTACCTACACATTAGCCAACACTCCATGCCTGAATCAAGGGACAACTTAGTGCAGTTACTCTGCTATAACATACACTTAACAGTTCAATTATCACAGCACTCCCTCTTCCCTATCAAGACCTCCTAGCTTTGCATTAGGATAAAGAATTCTCTTAGACCTATGGGCACATCTCAAATCTTTTCACTTTTGCCAATGTTTCCAGACTTCTAAAGGGCATCAATTAAAGTATATAAGCAAGTACTAGTTAGGTTTGACATTCAATTAAAATTTCACCATCTATACATGAAGGCTGAGAATGAAGCCTGAGCATCCAGTCCTACGCTGCAGTCTGCAGCTCTGTCACTTATCTCTTGCTCAATTCACTCTTCTTCTTCACAGCAATGCCATGTTTGCTTTCCTCCAGATATCTTTCACTATTAACAAGTGTTTCTCTAACACTTCACTCCCTCCTGATGCATGACACTTTGCAAATACCACCCTAGTGGTTTAGAAACAAACCATATTCCGCTTTCACCTGCCTTCTCTCATTATTCCTCTTCAGATCTAAATCTAACCTAAACCTTGACATCCTCTTCACCAGGATCCTACTTCTAGTTCTTACACAGATCTTTGACCAGGCAAACAAGAACCACAGTAGGAGCAATGCAGATTGTGTGGCACTTGCTGCAGTGTGCTGTTATTGCAGGCACGCACAGATGCTCCAGAACTTCTTAAAAGCAGTGTGATATTTAGTCACATGGACAATGTCAACGGCGGGCCTGAAAACAGCTTCCTTCTAAAGTAAGTTCCTCTAACTGCAGGATTGCATGTACTCTTGGGGGGTTTGGTAGCTGCAGTCAGCTTTTCTGACGCTGTCAGACCTCTTCAAATTGAGGTGAAAATTCAACCACTGAACAGGTACCTTTCATGTAGGGGAAACCATTCAGCAAGTTTCAGGACCCGTCCCTACTTGGTATTCTTCTTTGTAAATTTATCACAGTTAAGTTATATTTTAGGCTACAATATTCCTTATTTCTTATATCCCTAGCATCAGATTTAAATTCTCTAGAAGACAGCTATATTCTTTAGTCTCTTCCTTTTTCTGCAACCTGCCTTCTTCCAGTTACTACTCCTCTTAAATGTCAATAAACCTTCTAGGCTCCACTACTGTTTTTCCATTTTCCCTTTTCCAGCTTAGAATTTTAACTCACTGTACACAGCCTGTAATTTTTCTCATTTAAACAAAGCTTGTGAAAATGTTATGTCCCAGTGCAGTAAACCATTGGTGTAACTTTTCTTTGCACCACAAATTCTATTTGTTTGACAACTAATCCCCAAGTTTTAGCTATGCTACAGTTTCCTTGAGCTTGTTAATTAACAACAGATTCAGAATTACTTTGTTCCTTGTTACTACATCCAAATTTTGCAGCAAGAATCTCCTTCTAAATCACAGCTTTTGGCAAACACTTACATGACAAGCACACACCTAAAAATAAATTTTTGTAGATTTCAAAATGTTTTTAAATGCTTATGGATCACAATCCTTTCATGTAAAAATTGTCAGCTCTCTCAACTTTCCTATTCACTACTTCACAGGGCTATATAAAATATGTGTTATCTTTCATTCTTGCCAATTCCTAATGTTTCATCTCTATTAGTTTCCCCTTCCATTTAAAGATCTCTCCGAGCTTTAAATACTAGCAATAGTTTTATTCATTAAAGGCTTAAGCTGCTAATTAGACCAGGTAGCTTTACTTTACCTACCAACTATTCTAGAAACAGCCATATTTATTTTTTTCTCCCTTTTCAGTAACTTATAAAATAAAATCTGAAGACTTACGGTTCATTGTACCAAACTACTTCAAGTAGGAAGGAAACCTGGAAGCATTATGTGTTTGTTAAACCTAAGAAAGTCTGTTTCACATAATTCCATGATTTGCCAGGTAAAAATTTACTTGCTAATAAGAACTGGGTGGCGGCAGCAGGGTGCTGAATTAAATCGGCAAAATAGAGACAAGATATTGCTATGAGCTAACCACGTCTGTCCCGCTCCTTTTACCCTCAGTCATGTTCCTGAGAAAAAGGTAACTTTTGAACCATTCTATCAGAAGGTTCAAGCTGACAATTTAATTACTATTTCTGATCTCTCCTTTCACACAACACCAAATACCATCTCAGTTCAACACTAGCCTTTTCAAAAACGCACTTTTCCTCAGACACAATATCCATTTTTAGTGATTGCCTGTGCTTTGTATTAACTCCAAGATTCCTCTTTTTGAGGTTTGTAAGACATGTGCCCATCTGTCATCATTTTGATGAACCTGTGCCATCTTTCAGAGACTGAGTCACAACAGCTTCACATGGATGGGAAACCATTTAGTCAGGCAAGCAAAAAAGCTCAGTTGATTTTTAAAGAATCCCAAACATTTAATGAAAGTATAAAGCATTCAGACAAGAATCTAAATTTATTTGGGTTTTTTGTTGTTGTTAGTTCTTTTTTTTTTGAGGGGGTGGGGGGTGGTTGGAGTGGTTTTGGGTTTTTTTGGGAGGCTTTTTTGACAGTTTAACAGACAGGTGAGATTACCCAAGTAGGTATTTTCCATCTCATACCATCCAGTATTCCACATTCTACACAAACAGGTATCCTTTCATTAGAATTACCTACTAGGATTACCTAGGACTACCTCCCATATAATTTCCCCACACACCCCCCTTTTTTTTTCTCTTGCTATCTCTTATAAATAAGAGCAAACTACAATGACAATTGCATGTCTTAAAAAAAAAAACAAACAAAAAACCTTGTGGAAGCAAAATGCTTAACAGAAATGTTTCACCAGTGTTAAGGGGCTATATGTTGTTTTAACAAACAAACTTGAGCTTGGGAATTCTAAAACAATACATGTAAAGGACAGCAAAGTAACATCTTTCATTCTATATTTTGTACTGAATTAAAAGGTAACAATCCCATGACTTCTTGCTTTTTATGTTAGTATAAAAATGTCAGAAAAATCTGTACAGTTTGTCTTTGACTAAAGGAACTATTTCTAATGCTTGCTTTTACCTTCAATACCAAGGCATTTCCTGATTTCACTAGAAAGCCTGGCTGCCTGTTAAGAGGCTGAGATTTTAAACCTAAGGTTGCTTTCTTGTCTAAATGCTGCAGGTAAACGGCATTTAATAGATCATTAAAATATCTTGAATTTTAAACATAATCTGAAACTCTCCTTCTCTCTCCAATGTTCAGTGACATTATAGTTGCATCAGTTTTCTAATTATCAATGTCCTTCAGATTAGATTAAGCTCATACTTCCACAGTAAAAACACCCGAAGATAGCATTTAAAAACTACCCTTTAGAAATCAGAGAGGGAGCTCACAGCTACTGTTCGTTCATCTTGGAACTCAGTACAGACTCTATTACATTTATCTGAGTTACCTGTGCATAAAGAAATGTGTACATAAAATTGCAGAAGGAAAAAAAAAATACAAGCCTCCAAATGCTTCCTTTGATAGATGAGGTTTTAACAATAAAACTCCAGCTAAGGTATAGGAAGGTGAAGAAAAATGGAATACTACAAGTTTCTTTTAAAGGGTTTGTGAGATCTAATTTTTCTACAAGCCACCTTACCTGCACTCGTTTGTTTTTCCATAAGATACTGTAAGCCTCAAGAGAAAAGGGCAGGGGCCAATGATTAGTAACTAAAGTCATTGTACTAAAACATGAGCTCATTCTAGATGCAGCACGGAACTGGTCAGCACACCAAGTAGCGTTCAAGACACAAAAGCATGCAAAAAGAACGCAGTCCACGATCCAGGTCCTGGAGACACTGATGCAGTCCAGTCATCTCACTTACCTACCTACCTGTACTGCAACAACTAATGAAGTTTACCTGGTGAAATGCATTTATGCATCTTAGGCAACTATGAACATAATCCACCCCCAAAATCTCTGAAAACTCAGATTCAGATTCTCCCACTGCAGAACCCAATGTTTAGCTACAACACTTTCTACTGCAAAGGGAAACATTTCTTAGTCTTTTCTTCTGTGTAAGTCTGCATAAATCTGTGAGTCTCCAGCCACTGTGCTTCTAAACTATCCTGACCATAGACACAGCACAAAAGAATGGCAAATGCATCTCTAAATGTTCTGTTCAGCTCCTTTTGGACCAAATAGCACTAATGGTAGACAAGAACTAAAGCTACATTAAGTTTATGAACCAACATGGAAAACTGAGAAGGGTCTCACCTAAGCTAGTTTCTCAGAGTTTCTATGATTGGTCCAAAACCAACAATCTGCAAGCCTACAGTATTTCCTTCGAGGTATTTTCTAGGGGAACTAGCAGGGACTAACACATTTTGTAATTCAGTTCAGCCCCACTCATCCCCCATTAGCAAACACTGCTCTGGAAATCTTATTTAATTTCAGTAGAAACACGGCCAAAGACGTTGAAAATGTACAACAGTCTCCTTCAAAAAAGCTTTACAGAGCATTGAACTCTGTGGCCCTGTACCAAGTAACAAAGCTCAGAAATTCACCTTGAGTAAAACTGTTTAAGGCACGATGGGTCAAAAGACTCCTCAGGTATGTTGCTACATCTATAACCAAGATCAACAGCTAGGACACGCAGCACTTGAGCCTTCAGAGAGCAATCTACATTTTTTGTTTCTTTTCTTCAGTTTATCACTGTCATAGAGGACTCAAGTCTTGCCCATGCCCTTCCACTCACTTCCTTCACAGGATGCCATGATGGTGTCTTAGGTGGCACTCCCCAAGACACTGAACGCTGCAGTAAAACAAGGGTCTCTCCCTCCCAAGCCTGCCCCAGCTGCAGCCACAACACTGCAAATCAACCACTGCATGCACTGTCCCCAAAAGCCATGCTGTGTCAAACGAGTGGAGGGAGATTTGCTGCACACAACTTAACTATCTCTCAGGTGGTGTTTACAAAGGAATGAAGATGGGAGTAAGGCAAGAAAAGAGAAGGGAGAGAGAGACCTTCAGGTTCTTAAAGAGTAATACCCTCTCTAACTGGTTCAGGGCTTTGGGATGTTCCCCACTACTTAGTTCCAGTTTGCTGAGGAGACATGAAGAGATCTGTGAAAGACAGGCAAATGCATGGTTTAAACAAAGCAAAATAAACCCAAAGAGAAGAATAACCTGGCAGAGTGCAAGGCTGCAGGGCAGACTCCTGGCATGCACAGCAAAGAGACAGTACAAGGTAACTGCACAGATCAGACACAAGACAGAGCATCGCTTAACCGAGCTGGGTGCAGCCATCACTTGATAAGGGTAGCCTTCCTAAATTCAAATTCACCTTCACTTTACACCTTCTGTACACAGACCATGACAAATTCTGACATCTGCAGTACATTAGCCTGATCTCTTTTAGCTTTCCTTAGGCCAGCCTACCATCATCACAAATCTTGCCACTTTTCTCCCACAGCAAGGGAAACAAGCAGTCATTAGGTTACAACACAAGTAGTAAAGCCCCAAGCTAGTTTCAGATTCCTACAAGTAAGCATTCAGTCTCTCAAAACACTGTTATACTGGCTCTGAAATGTACATTTACCCAATGTTGCCACTTTTCTCAACTCATTAAAAATAAAAACAGAGTGGAAGTTATAATGTTATAAAAAATATATTCAGCATAAGTTCAAAGGTGGTTATTTCTTCTCCAGCACTCTTCCTCCCATCCTGTTGCTCTCAACAGTAGAATCCTGTATCTTTATTGACATTCTTTATATGGAGTATAAAGAATATAGACATATAGAAGTATATATGGAGTTCCTCAAGTGGACCTCCATCTAAGAAATTATTACATTATTAATCATGTAAGGTCACATTTATGGTATTTGCCATACTGAATCCAGCTGCTAAAAACCTCACTGTACAGAGAGAGATGGTGGTGTTGAACAAACATGGACTTTCCACCCTCAGAAAACTGCATTTAGGGAGAGGCAGAAAATGAACAATCTACTTCGATTTGGCCTGCTAACAGAGATATAGCATTGCCCATGTGAACTAAGGTTTTTCCTACAGAATGCTGCCCCTTCTAGAACCCACCAAAGCTTTTTCTACAATATCCCAATTTCATAATCTTTTCATGCTGTTTCACCAGCCTTAAAAAGTTTCCTTTCTACATAGGGAGAACTGGACAAAGACATGCCAAGAACTCAGTATTAGACCTGTAGTGAATGAAGAAAGATGAGAAAGAAGCTGGAGAGAGAGCAGAAGACAGCATATGATCAGACGACATCACCGTCAAGTCTCATAACTTGCTGGGGTTTTCTAGCCCACAGCAGCTGATGGCTGTTCCCAGAATCCGGACTGACTCACTTAGGCAGTAGTATCATTAACAAGATTCACTACTGGACTACGTGGGCTTAATCCCACAGCTATATCCATTTATGCGGTTAAACATGCTCTTTCAGTGAACTAGGGACTTGCAGGAATGAAGAAACACAAGTGTGAAAACAAACAATATAGAAATAAGCGCAAGCCCGAGACAAGAGCAGAACAGCCAACACAGTGCTGAGTCTTACCTTCTTCATGTTCGTTCCCATGTAGCTTTTAGGCTCTTCTTTAAACTGAGGCAACCTGAAAGACAAAGAACAGTCTTGGGTTAACCAGAAGGGTGAAAAAATAGACTGGTCTCTCCAGTCACGCTGCAGATACTAGAAAACAAAAATTAGGTTTTCTCCACAAAAAAATATGCTCTTAGGTTTTTTTCCTGACAAAATCTGCTGAGGGAAAAAAAACAAGTATAGATGAGAGGTGCTTTGCATGCTATTACTGCTAATGGCAGTTTTGCTATATTGATTTTCATTGTTAATGGTCATGTAAGTACAGTTTCTTTTCCTTCAGTGTATGTTTTCACCAGTGGACTAATTAGATTGGTTCACAACAGTTTTCTCTGATGCTGCTAAAAACAGCTGCTGAGTCAGAGTGTCATCCACACCAGGACTCTTGTAGTGTACATGTTTTTACTAGTCATGGTGACCCTTTTCATTAACTTTGTAGAAACCCCAGTAATTATCCTCTATTCTGCATCACATAAACACAATTATGGTGCACGGTGGATCCAAGTTTAAGCTAAATGCTTTGAGCTAAGCAATTCCTGTCTTAGAAGTAAAGGAGGTAGATTGCTTTCACCTGTGCTACCAAATGACAAATGTGTACAGCTCTACAACTCCACACACTCTGGTCTCCCCTCTGTTCCTTTACTACAGTTCTATCTTCACTTGCTGAAGGGATAAAAGCCTTGCAGCACAGCTTTGGCTGTTTCTTTTTCTGGAAAGCAAGATGGCCAACCCCCCCTGCAGTTGCTGTCTTTGCCTTGCTTCTTTATCCCAATGTCCACAGGCACAGACTGTGGTGGTGTCTCCAAGCCTTAACAAAAAGGACAAAGGAAAGGATACACAATGAGTAATGAATAAGCACCAAGTAAAATTCACATATGCATTTGGAGAAAAAGTAATGCAGTCTCTCCTCTTTGGAGAGATTGATTCTGACTGTGCCCCATATTTACCCAGTGCACTGCATGATGCAGGGTGCACAGAGAAAAAAAAAACGACTTGAGATCCCACTGGAACTGAGTGTGACAATGGGGGAAAAAAAATATTATGAGAGCTGTGTTTCACAAGCTGTCAGTTTTACTACAATCCTTTCCTACCAAAAGTATTTCTACATCTGCGTATTTCCGTTTTACAATATCCAGAGAAAGTCTATGAGTACTTCACTATCTGAAGAAACAGTTTTGAAGTTAAATAACTTACCTGAGTTTAAAAGAAGTAATCTTAATTACCTGAAGAGTGTTGAAAAGGGCAGAACATTTGTCCAAGACATATGATCTCAAGAGTTTAAAATTCTATTTGATATGTGCAGTCAAAGCTCTCAGCTTGAAAGCAACATGCAGCTATTCAACACCATTTCTGTTCTCTCTCCTGAAGAGAGCTATATTTTTTACAGCACTTTTTTTTTTTTGAGTGACATTTGCATTCCCTGTCCTCAAACTGGTTCCCTATCCCAAAGCTCTTCATTACTTGGCTGTCCATCTCTCCTCAAAGGATACCTTAAACCAGGCAACCTTCCCCACCTCTGTCTCTCTGCAGCCTGACAGGGTCAGCTGAAGAGAAAAGTGCCAAACCCTTCATCCCCTTCCACCTCTAAATAATGACCACTTTGGATGATTTTTCTGAGGGCCCTGAAGTGGAAGTGTGGAATCTTTCTGTCCTTAGAGGGCCATCTCAGCAATGCTGAGGCAAACACAAGCAGGTTTACCTTGTGAAGAGCAGCTGCACCATGTCGACCAGAGTGTGCTCTGCAGATTTTCTCAATAACTCTGCGAAGACAAAAACAAATAACACAGGTGTCATTACTCAGTGTGATATTATCGAGAGGCTTCTTCAAGCAGACTCCCCTCTGAGCCTTGTTTACAGAGATTACGGCAAATTTATTAAAATCAGCTCCAACACCGCACTACTGCAAATGGGCATATAATCACAAGGTGGCGCCACAGAGCTGGGGGAAAAGAGCACTCAAAGTTGTACAGTGAATTCCCAACAAATTTTCCATGAAGTTGTAGAAAGACACAATAATATAAAGCTCAGCAGCTCTCCGCGGCTGCGTGTTCTACAACAGAACTAGTTAATGTTGAGGAAATCCAATAATTTCTTAACTGCAGAAGTATGAACAAACCTACCACTGAGTCTCATTTCAAAGCATATGCGGAAACAGGACTGCATGATCTCACACACAGATTCATTGGTGAGGTGGGCTCCCACTGGAGTGAGAAGCAAGGTCCTCAAAACCTGCAAAGAACAGCACACATGTATCCCATGGTACAATGACACTTGCATGCATTTCCAAGAGAAGGCTGTCTTCCTCGAGAAGGACTGCCATGAGCAGAACACCTAAGGGTTTTCCAGGAGTCATTTCAAACTGAATGCTGTGCTCAAGAAACAGATTAAGAGACAAGAATGATCTCCTGACCCACTTCTACGAGAGGCCTGATATGCTGCATGCTACCCAATATTTAAATTCAGTAACTAGCTATCTGCTCAAAAGTACATAGACCAAAGAGGTGAATGGTTCATAGGTTTGTCTCTACGAAGACTTTTTCTCAAAAATAAGTTTGAGAGCTCCATATGCTTAATTTACCCCTCCCTAACACAGACCATGCCCAAGGCAGGATTATCAACGCTACCACATTATCAAGCCCTTAATTTAAAAATAATTTCATTTAAGCTTTTAATTATTTTCATTTGGAAAAGCTTTTACCACAGGTATATGAGCCATCTGTTTAAAAATAAAGTCTGTCACTAAGCTTCTACAGAGTCAAAACATTGCTTCCTCCTCTCCATTTCTATGTAACAGGATATGTCCCACAATAGGCAGCAACCATCATGGTAATTACCATTTCTCTCCACTTACCTGTAAGATTTTCATCAAGACAACCTCATCACTCGCATGATCTGTGCCCACAAATCGGGCATGAGTGACAGCATCTGCCATATTCTCCATCCCCTCCGCTGTGCCCTCATGGCTGGGATCTGAGTAACAGAATAAAAATATGAGAGGGAAGGGCCACCTACAGCCTACCACCTCTGTGGGGAGACATCCACACAGAGATACTTTGTTGCCATCTGCGTCCTTAATTTGTGTGACTTGGAGTGAGTTGATGCTACAAACTCACCTCCCACTAACAGTTTTTAAAAGTGGGAGCTTTCAGATATCAAGAGTCTATTTACATTTGCAAAAAGATGTAACCTAACAAAGAAAAGAATTACAATTCAGCTGTTCCTGGCTCTGTATGTTTTTAGATGTTAATTTGTATGACTGTCTTGTTCCCTACGATATAGCACAATCAGCTGTTAAATGCATTCAGTTCCTCCTTGGGAACAAAGAGAAAACAGCTCCTAAACGTAGGGAACCTCAAATTTACTCCCATGAGCAGGAAATGCCAAACAGGTTCCACTAGATTGAGAAGGAAAAACTGTCTCTTGTTCCACATCTCTCCTGAGGAACAGGAGCTGGGGAAGGAACGGACCAGTAGCTTTCCCCAGAGAAAACAGTAGAGGGACACAACCACAGTTTAGATGCCAGAGTTGCAGGCCTCCTGCTTCAATCATTCATCAAGGCTCCTTTTCTCCATTTCAGCCTTTTGTAGCTACAAACAATGGTGTAGTTCAGAGAATGTTTAGGATGAGATTGTTGCTAGTAACTGTATCTTATGCTACATTACAGTGGCTTCAGAAAAGCTGCCTCTGACTTTGATTTCATTCTCACTTAAAACAATATGGCACTGGACAAGAATCTTGTTACCTTCCTACTTAAACAGTCATTAGGAAAGAAAGGAGACAACCTAAACACTATTTAATACCTCATTAATTGGCAATGGGGCCTCTTGAACGCCAGCAAGAATGAAGCTGACAGAGGAACCAAGCAAGACCTTGTATACTTTGCAGAGAAGCTTTGCAGACTCCCTCTTTGACTCCAGTTGTGTTCACACCTAGGAGAGGCTAAGCCCTAGGCACTAAAGAAAGCTGCCCTTATTGTGGTCCAAAGAGAGCAGCCTCCATCACGCTGTGGGGACTCCAAGGGGCTGCAGGACAAGAAACTGCTCATAGTTGCACAAAACTGAAACGGCATCAGCGTACTTCAGAATCCCATAAATCTGCATAAGAATAGCTCTTCACCTTGGCCATGCCTTATACCTCCCTATTAAGAGCAGAGCTTGCCTACTTTTGACATATTTCTCTCACACACACAGATAAACACACACACAAAAAAATCTTGCATAGTTGAGAGTGAGTTCCTCTCCTGTTTGCCAGTCAAACCTCATTGAGCTATCAAGGAGTCTGTTTTAAGATCAATTGGCCATTTTTTACCTGCTTGAGCAGCAGCACTCAACAGGATACCAAACTCTGATACTGGGAAGCATTAGATAAGAGGCCTGGCTGTCAAAGGCAGTTCTCTGTGTACCTTCGATAATGGTTTATAATCCAGTTAGAAGCTACCACACTTGTACCAGAGGCAATAAAATCAGCCATTTGTTGGTGAGCCATGCACTCTTATTCACAAATGGAAACAATAGCTTAAACCACCAATGGTGATGTAGGATCATTCTAAATTGCCTCAATTAAATCAGGCAAAGACCAGTGGTGTTACAATGCCAGCACCTACATTAGCATCACTGTTAACTAACTTCAACAACTACAGTGGAAAGCAGCTAAGCAGGCATGAAGAAGAAAAAGCAACATGCTGCAGAAAAGGTTCCCACAGGCAGAACACATATTCACTTCACTGTCACCTCTTCCAGTAGATGTGAGTTGCTCTAGGCTTAGGGGTACATTTAGTCATAGTTACAGTCTGTGTGAAAAGGAAATGCAAGCAAGTTGTGCATATGCTTCTTTAACAGATCTATGACTATTGCTTTGCTGATCTAGACACTACCTTCAACACTAATAAACACACCTCTCTCCCAACACGCATCACGCCTCACTACTTCAGTTCTGGCTCCCTGGAAGAGCTCTACAAATTCAGGTCAATTTATAAAGCCTCTTGAGTTCAATTAAAGCACAGATACTTCTACTTTGCAGAAAGAAGATACAAAAAAGATCAACCCACTTCTTTGTTCCCTTGTGAGAAAATGGTACAGAAAGATGCGTCAATGCCTGCTCAGAATCACTAACAAAACCGAGTTTGTGTGAAGCAAAATATCAGTTTGAAAATTGCCACCTGCAATGCAAAGATCTGGAGACGCCATTTAGACATACACATTTCGTATGGGGTGTACTCTCACACAGGTGGACAAAAGAACAAGCACAAAGCAGAAAATCCAGGCTCTCAACCATCAGGGAAATCCAGAAGCCTGCTCCATAACACCTTTAATGGAATGAAAGTAAATCACCAAGGCGACAGAGAAAGTAGAGGGGAGAACAAGCTTTAAACTTCCCAAACAGCAGATCCTCTCACTGGAAGCTGAACAACAGCAACTCACAAGAATGTAGTTTTCAGGAACACCAGGGAAAGTTAACTTTAGAAATGGAGCCAGAAGCTGCTGTGGACACACTGTATTGTAAAAAGAGCGCATACCTTTTCTGAGGAAAATACAAAAAATACAGTTCTGAAACTCAGGCACTAGTCTTCCTATAGCTAGGGTTTGAACTCATCAAAAAGGCTGACAGCTAGCTAGCTAGCACAAAACTGCTGAGTAAGGAAATAAGTAATCTCAGGGATAAAAATCAATGGGAGTTCAGTATTGTCACACAGTTTTCTTGTACTTTAAAAATCACTATGCAATTTATCGACTATAACTCTTGAAACAGTAGTATTTATTTCAAAGCAGAGCATAATCTCTGTAAGGCTAACTATTCCTACTAAAATACATGCATGTTGGACATCAAGTCATTTTATCTAACTGAGCTGCGATTATACGCTATACTATTAGTGAACTGCTGCATCCAACATCTCAGAACAGATCTTTGCAATTCTGACTACTAGAGATCAGAAGTCTCAAAGGCTACTCAATAATTATTCTGGTTTAACTGGTTTTAAAACATACCCCTCAGGAATACTGGCCTGAAAACTACATAACCACCTACTGACATGTGACAGAATAGGAAAAACAGTGAGATAGCACAAGGATTAGCAATGAAATGCCTTGGAAATAGGAAAAGAAAGTCATTTTAAACAAAGATAGTTATCAGAGGAGTTTGGCCCTTTCACTGCCCACTGGCTTTTGACCCAGTGTGTACAGCAAAAGCCATCCACTCACAGAACAGAGACAACAAATGATGCTTTTGAAAAAAGTGCTGGTTTCACCTGTCAATTGTACAGACCCAAAATGCACCACAAATATCAGCCGCACTGAAATTTCCCCACCGTGGTTATGCCAGAGTCTTTCCCTCCTTGTTCTGTACAGTTGGAAACAGAATCTTATATTAAGGACAGTTTTAAGCTTTTCTATCTTTAGACAAACAGTCTTTAGGCTACCTTTAGTCTTACATTACAAAGAGAAATATATGACCAAAAAGCTTTAATTTAACAACACAGCTCTAGCCAGCTGTTCAGTCAGCACCACTAATCCCCGCCTCACTGGTATCTGGAGCAGCACAAAGGACAAGGCCCTTGTGAACGTCACCTGAAGCAGCAACGGAGGTCTTAGATTACAGGTTCTGCTCCACAAGAAAAGCCAGGCAGAGGGTCTTTTCCACTGTCTACTACAAAGACACACACTCAGGAACAGTTAGATGGATGTGCCCTTGCTGGAGTGACCTAATTAATACTCCAAATAACAAGCAGCTAGAGAAAGGCTACAAATTCTTAACCACATTTTTTCCTGTTTCTGCCTCAAATCAATTGCCTGTGCAGACATTAGCCTGGACATGTGATACCAGCTTGATGTTCCGATCTCAGCCAGACCATAAAAGCCCAGAAGAAGAGTCCATCCCTTGTTCTGTGTTGAAACTAAAATGTTTTGCATTATTGTTTAGTCCTTCAGAGGGACATGCTTTACAGGCTTATTTATTAAGATTTCTTTATTGTCCTATGAGGTAACACCAATATTGCACCATTTTAGTTATCTGTTGCCACCTAATTATACTCAATACTGCCCACTAATTGATGTCTTTATACAATAAATTTCCATCAAACTCTTAAAAAAATTTTTTCCTGCAAGTCCCTATTTTTGCTCATTTTAATTTTGTGTCTTTCCCACAAAAGTGGTCTGCATCTACATCAAGGCCTTTCTTTCTCTAACTTCCCTCATTCTAACTCCAAAGAACAAAATATTTAAAACAATAGTGCCAAAAATTCAGCAGTGTTCACTTACAGTGTAAGGGAGGAAAAGAACCGAGAAATTTGAACTTGGGGGAGAGGAAGACATGTAAAATAATTTTCTCCAAGTAAGACTACGTATAAACAAACATAGATAACAAGTTCTGTAATTCACACAGGTATGATCAAAAAGTACTAACAGAATTTACACAGAAAAATCAAGCACCACTAACAACAGGAAGACACACTGAAGGCAGACAGAAAGCCAGCTAATGAGTTACAAGTCAGTTGAGCCATGGGAACTGTCCACATGCACATTATTAGTCTTTCACAAATATAAAAGAGTATGCATGCATTTAAAAGTCTGGGCAGCAGCAAAACTATCTCTGCCATGGCAATTGTAACAAGTGAAGAGTACTGGCACACCACTGGACAGGGTCTGGGACCGGGCAAAAAAACATCCTCACTCGAGAGTAGAAATAATATTCCGCAAAACTAAATAAATTCTGCTGTGTTTATGTGTATTACAACATTGTAATCCAAGCTGGTATTCACCCCTCCCTGGCCCTTTTGCTCAGAGTGCATTAAAAAACACAACCACAGTCCAGCAGCGAGCCATAAGCACACACAGCAGCCAGGGCAGACTAGAAGCTTTGGCTCTGTTTCCAGCCACTGCTGTAGTGCCATGAAAGACCAGTAGGTACCATATTAAGAAACTGCAGAGGCCTATTTCCCTGGCATTAATGACAATTTTCTTATTTCCCCAATCTCTTCATTAAGACTGCAAGCATGTATCCTGGCCAAAGACACATCTCAAGGAGATGCATTTAGCTGACATTTTCGTAAATCCCAGGAAGCCACATAACATACCTATTAGTGCATATGAGAGGAACTTATTCACGGAGGTGAGGGCCAATCCAGTTATGGGGCCTGTAGTGTCTTCAGAACGGATTACTTCCAGGAAAGGCCGAAGAAAGACATTGGGTTCAATTTCAGATAGCTCTGTTAAAATAAAAATAATTTTAGAGACACGTTAAATTAGACTTGATTCATTAGGATTCATTTTCTCTTTAAGAATCTACAGCAAGCTTAATCTCAGAGGAAAGAGGTCTGCAATAGCTTAGTTTCAGAAAGCTGGTGGGAAGGTCAGGGTTGCTTTTAAATATGCTCTCTCTCTCTATCTCTACACACATGTATATACAGACACACACACATATATACATACATATTTTTAAAAGCAATGGTTTGTGAAGTTCACTTTTCATGATCTTCAAAACAGGCTTCTGGAGCCTTCTAAAACAAATCCTATTGTAAGAACACCCTGTAAACACCACAGAGCCACTGCTGCCTAAATTCATGCTTTAATTAATTAATTGGCAGATATGGTTGCATCTTCCTAGTATGCCTGGAATTGTGTGATCACATGAATTATATAGACCCTGCTCCACCTTCTGCCACTTCTGTAACATCCTACTACACATATAGCCTCATGCTAATTAAATGCATAGTACAAATGTACAACCAGGTTAGTTGGATCTCTTGCAGCTCTTTGCCTGAATACAAATTGCATTTCTGCAACACTAGAGGCTTGCTTGGCAAAGACAGGAAAAACCCACAAGATAAACAAATTTAAAACCCCTTCTGACTTGTTCTCAGAATACCCATATAAGCCTCTCAATCAAAGAATAAAAAAGGACACTCTTCTCTACTCGCTGCTTTGGACAGCAAGTGTCCTCTCTAAAGCTGCAATACAAGAAGGCAGATGCACTGAGCTGTTCAGCTGGAGAAAGAACAACTAACGAGCTTCCTAAACTTTTCAAGATGATCAACGGAAGCTTTGGGAGTGAAAAAGAAATACAGAAAAAAATAGCCACAACTAGGGAAAGTGACAACCCCTCCTTAAAAAAAAAACAAACAAAACCAAAAAACCAAAAACCAAAAAACCAACCAACCAAAATAAAAAAAGCCAACAAAACCCTGAAACAAACAAAAAATCCCAACACAAGGAATCAAGGTAAGAGGAGTCCTGAGGAGGATTTAGGAGAAAAAGTTTTAAAAAGCAGGTGAAGGCAACCACAATACAGTGAGTACAGAGGGAAAGAAGAGTGTATTAAAAGTAACTTGGATAATCCTGAGACCAGAAATATTTAAGCACAAACACTTGGCTCAACTTGCTGAAACCTACATTTTATTCTTAATAAAAGTTAACAAGACTAATGGCTAATACTGTCACAGGAACACTGGCATTTATATTCTTGATGATCCAATATTGCACTTATCTGTCATATGAGCTTCACTGAGGAGGGGGAGAAAAAAGCCTGAAATTCCTGAATCCTTAGACAAGCTGCTGCTTTTCTATCTACCAACATAACTTAATTATTTTACTTCAAAAAAAAAAAAATCCAAACCCTCCTGATTCTAAGATAGGTGAAATTCCATTTTATCATAGTTCCTATTGAAAAGTCTTAAGTATCAAAGTAAAAAGCCTATCAGAAAGCATGTTAACATAACTGTAACAAATTATGGTGAGAAAGCAAAGGAGGAAGAGTAGTGCAGGAGTTTTTGTTTTAAATAGTTAAGACTACGGAGAACAACATCAAAGTGCAATAGTTTTGCTGTCAACCAAAGCAAAACTGCAATTTAAAAAAGGAACTTTGGGAATCATTACACAGTCTCTTACCTTTCAGGCACCAGTTCAAATCAGGCCAACACCATTAACTTGTGAGAGGTTAAAAGGAACGTGATGATTCAATCTTTTTGGCTTAAGAACAACTCCCCCAATTTGTCAGATAATATCCTGGTGTGACATTACAATTGTGTGACCTCTCAATAGCTCATGGAAATGCAGAGGATCATAAGACATGCTTTCATCAATGTTTATTTAAGTGTGCTTTATAGAACACTTGTCTGGTTACAAGCACTTGGACAACATTAAATATAGTAAGACTACTAGGGATCAACACTCAAGCTCTTCTTCCCCAAAACTGATCCCTTCTATAGAACAGTTAGCACTATCATAATCCTGTCGATTGCTCAGCCTCCTTCAATCCAGGGAGCCCCAGGATGGAAAAGCTGCACCTTGATTAGTAAGAAAAACGGGACTTCAGCATACGTACATAGCTGCACAGATGGAATGAGATGATGAAGACAAACTTGCTAGCAGAGAATACATAGGTTACTACACTCTCCATTAATCCATTTTCGGGACAATAAATAGACGTTTTCTTTACAAGAGTGGGGGGAGTTTCAATTTTTACTTTTAACTAAAGCTGTGAATCTTGATACGGTTAAAGATCAGATTCCTCTGCAGTCTAACTGAAATTTCCAACTTACATGAAGATCACAAAATGGCTTGTCATAAGTAGGATTTAACTTAGGCACATACTGTTGATTACACAGCAACTCTGGCCAGCTTCCCTGATATTCAGAGACTCTAGCTTTTATGGTAACACAGCATTTTACATTAAGCTCTCTGAAACTGACTGTGTACGCTGTAAAACTATTTCAGACTGGATAGCTGGTGCTGTGTTATTGAAAAAAAACTAAAAAATATACTAAACAAGAAGATATTTTAAGAGTTTATTTTTAGTGCAAGACCTACCCACTAAAGTACTACTGTTTGAAAGCTCTAAATTTCAGTGAAACACGAATCACGCTGTTAATTGTTTGCATCTTGATTACTACAATGAGCTCTTCTTACCAGCAGCATTTGCAGGCCTTGAGGACTTAAAGGGGTCACCAGCTCCCTGTTTAAAGCAGAACTCAATCTCAGTAGCAGTGCTTGTTTCAATAGGAAGATTGGGAGCACAGAAAAACATTCATACTGTAGCTATTCTTGCTATATCCTGCCTTGAAGAAGATTACTCTCATTGGCTGAAGTATCAGTACAGCATCTGAAAGTGGCACTAAAGCAACTTGGAAGTTTTTAACCAAGTAAAAATTCTGCAAACAAGTCAGTAAGTCAAAGATCAATCCTTTTCTTTTAACTCAACCCTGTTGATCTCAGTGAAGTTAGTTTAGAAGCTTTCTTCCCAAAAGGTTTTCACAGCCATATACACTGAACATGGCAGCATCCAGAACCAACCTGCCAGTCCTTTCAGATCAATAACTACAACTGCAAGGTGCACTTCATGCTACCTTTTACTACCAGAGCTCAAGTTTAATCTATAGCACAGAACAGTTGGAACTGAATAATGCTCTTTTCACAATACTTTGGTAAGGTAGCACCATAGTCTTTAAAGGGAATTGATCCACCCAGCAAGTTAAAACTTCACAAGAGACACTACATAAAGTCTTGATCTTTTTGGCACCTAACTGTAAAAGCAATGCTCTGCTCTCCTGAAAATATTCAAGAACCTCAGAAAGGACAGCTGAATCAATTAAAACTTTAATAATTCCTTTGCCAAAACAAAGGCTATATAAAGTAAATATTGAATGTTTGGAAGTACATACTTGAACTTTTGTAAAAGTTTTCCAAAAAAAGCAGTTCTGATTTTTCAACTCTCTGATTCTTGCTCTGTCAGATTCAGGTTCAGGCATTACAAGTGAGGAAACCATAACCAGTGAGAGACTTGAGAACTGCTGATAGAGATGCTTCTCCAAGTATATTTCCTAGCAAGAGATTTCTCAGTGTTTGACAAGAAAACACAGGATGGTTCTCTGCTTAGAAAATGACTTTGAACTCTGGGGAAAAAACAAACAACCAATCCACCCCAAAACCTACCAGCCCTGCAGGCAAGACCTCAGCCTAGGGTATTACAAGAGGAAAAAACTGAACAAGTGTCCACAAGGAGATCAAAATTTCACTAGGGATTCCTACAAGCAGCCTTCCTTTTCAATCTACTCAAAGCTAGGGAAAATTATATTAAAACATGATTTATTCTTACATGAAGAGCCTGGGCTGCTTTGGGGCCCAGCTGGAAAGCACTTCCCATCCTTTTCACACAGGTCCCTTCAATGAAATTTCAGGGAAGCAAACAGAGACCAGCACTACATCCAAAAATGCTCAGCTAGCCCAGAGCAGTGCATGGAGACCAAGAAGAAGGGAAAGAATATCTTAAGTAGCATATCAGAAAGCCAACTCTTCAGGCCGGCAATTTTAATACGCAGATGGAATTCCTCTGAGACCACAGTGCTTTCCTTCATTCATCCTATGGATTATTTGCGCTTAGACACACATGTCTATAAAGATATTTAAACAACTCATGTTTAAGCACCTAACTCCCATTTCAGCAATCCCATCCAGCCATTCTGACACTTCAGCAAACAAGCTGCATCAGACCTTCGGCGTCCCCTTTCTCCTGAAGTACAGCAGCAGGTCCCCCTTGGAAGAGGTTTCTTATTGTTAGTACACTGTTGGCACATTCCTGATCTAAAACGCTCACATAAGCTGCTTTCTCTGGCAGTTCAACTCTTCACTCCTGAATGACTCTTATCAGGATCGGCTATGCGTTCCGAATTAGAGTAAATGAACGAGAAAAAATTGTTTATGACAAGTTATTTCAACATCATTTGTCCCCAGGACAGGCAACTGCAACCCAAACCACATGACCTGGACTCCTCTTATGCAGCAGCTGTTGGCCTTTGACGCCCAGCCTTCAGAAAGGCTGTCTCAGTTCAATCCCACGCACCTTTCCAATGCAGACGAGCTCAGATAAGAGCAACGCTTCAAGCATGTGCTATTACATTGCCTGCTTACTTACAACAAATAAGCATTCTCTTTCCTTCTTCAGGTGAGAAAAAGACAAAGACAACACTGTAACAGAGCAGAAATCCAGCTCTTTAGGACTCTTGCACAGGAGCTCAATGAATTTATGTCAGAAAACTGAGGTACCAGCATATGCTTCCTGGCTCACCCTCAAAAACACTTTCTGCAAACACTGCTTTTCTGGCCTAGATTACTTTTTATGTGCTTTATTCTCAGTTAAGCCACCAAACAGCAAAACATTTTGTCTTTTCACCCAAGGATGAGAAGTTCCTGTAGTCTCTCTCAGCAAGTTAGA